AAAAATAACAGTAAAATCTCTTAAACACTTAGAAATTAAACAACAAAACCCACATAACCCAAGGATCAAAGAGTAACTCTCCCAAAAGTTTTGGCATGCAGCTAAAGCAGTGTTTAGGGAGAAATTTATACCAACAAATGCTTATTTTAGACAAGAAGAGGGGTTTGAGATTAATAACCTAGTCTTACACGTTAAGAAATTAGATGAACAAACACAAGACGATAGGAAATCATACAAATTGGAGCAGACACCAATAAAACTAAAAACAGAAAAATAGAGAAAATGGATAAAACCACAACCTACCTCTTTGAAAAGATCAATAAAATTCATAAACCACTAGCAAGACTGACTAACAAAGAGAAAGAAGATGCAAATTACCAATATCAAGAAAGAAAGGGAATACTATCAACAACTCTATAAACACAAATCCAGATGGACCCATTCCTTAAAAACCACAAGTAATGAAAAGTCACCCAAAATGAAATAGATAACGAATAATCTTATAACTGTTAAAGAGATTACATTCTTAGCTAAAAATCTTTTGGGAAAATATGTCCAATTGTAAATGTTTTTATTTGTGAAGTCTGTTAAACATTTAAAGAAGAAATAACATCAATTCTACACATCTCTTCCAGAAAACAGAAAAGGTTAGGAGCGGGGGAACATATTTCCTAACTTATTTTGCAAGGTTAATGTTATTCCAAAACCTACCAAAATTAGACAAAGACAGTACCAAAAAGGAACATTCCAGACCAACATCTATCATAAACATAAGTGTAAAAATCCTCATCAAAACACTAGCCAATCAAGCTAGGCGCCAATGGCTCACACCTATAATCCTAGCTACTCAGAAGGCAGAGATCAGGAGGATTACGGTTCAAAGCCAACCAGAGCAAATAGTTCGATGTTGGAAGCCGACAGGTATATTGAATAAGGCTGCATGTTTGAGTTTGGCACAGTCCCAAACCACAGAAGGAAGCAAATATAGTTATGCCCAGTAATTTGCACACTTGGATTGGCATAGCCTCAGCTGCAGAAGTGGGCAAGATGCAGTACAGGTGTTTTTCCTAAGATGTTTACATTCAGAGAGAAGCTGTCACAAGGATTCCAGTTCCTGAGGATTACAATGCCACACCCCCTCCCCCAAGAAATGCCTCTCCATCTCATGTTGCCACTATATATAATAAACTCACTGGAGGTGGAGGGTGCTAGTGTGTCTCCATCGTAGTATCCAGCCTACCTAGCCCCAGCTTTATGCATGTTTGGTCTTCTGTTTGTCTTTTCTGGCATCTCCCATTGCCCCTCAGTTAAGGTTTCTAGGACAAACTCGAGCGAGTCACAAGAGTTCGTGAGACCCTATCTTGAAAAACCCTTTACAAAAAAATAGGGCTGGTGGAATGGCTCAAGGTGAAGGCCCTGAGTTCAAACACAAGTACCGCCAAAAAAACCCCAAAAGTAGTCAATTAAATACAGCAATACATAAAAGAGCAATATACCAGGACAAAGTGGGGTTTATTCCAGGAATATGCTTCAATCTTTAAGAATCAATGTCACCTACTATATTAGTAGTCCAGAGCAAAAAATAAACATATCCAATAGGTACAGGAAAAAGCATTTGGGAAAATTCAACATTCATTTATGATAACAAAAAAAGTGTATGGACAAAGTAGGAATGGAAAGTAACTTTCTTAATCTTATCTAGTATATCTACAAAAACCTTCAGGTTAAAATCATGCTAATAATAGTAAATGGTTTCCTCCTACGGTCAGAAACAATGCAAGTCTGTCCAGTACTCTTACTATTCTTGTATTGACATCATAATGGAAGTCTTAAGCAGTACAAAAATGAACTAAAATACAGACTAGAAAGAAGAAATAAAATTGTTCCCACTTAAATATGACACAATTGTCTACATAGATGACCTCAAGAAATCTATAAAAAATAACAAAATAGCCATTAAGAATAAGTGAGTTTTAACAATGTCATAAAACACAAGGTCAACACAGAATTATCAATCATAATTCATACTGGAGATGTACAGATAGAAGCTTGAATTTAATTTAAAATATACTATTTACTGTAGTTCCAACAAAAATTTTGGTATAAATCATGTACAGAATCTATGTGGTAAGAAAAAAATCAAAAGAAAACGTAAATAATTGGAAAGATATTCCATATTCCATGTATTGGAAGATTCAACACAATAAAATGTCAATTCTATCCAAATTCACCTATAGATGTGTGTTCGGCTCCCTAAGACCATTCCAGATGCAATGATTTCCTAGAAGGACTCCCAAGACTTCTAAATAGTCATGTTCATGGCTGTAATTCTTTATAGCAAAAGGATAAAAAGAAAAATCAGCAAAGGGAAAAGGAGAATGGGGCAAAGTCTGAAAACAACTATAAGCAAGCTTCCAAGAGTCCTGTCCCAGTAGAGTCATGTTAGGATGCACTTAATTCCTCCAGCAACGAGTTGGGACATGTGAAGTGTTGCCTACCCGGAAAGCCAGTCACTCATTGCCCAAGACTTTACTGGGAGCTGGTCACGCTCTCTGCCTAGCATTTTCTCAAATGTCAGACTTCTAAAAGGAAAGCGAGTGTTTAGGTTAAAGTACACTGTTTGCACAAAGAGTTTAGGCACAGTGAGCAACAGTTATCATTTGGGAGGGTTTTATATCAGTGTAGGAGATGGTTTACCAGCCACGTTTCTACATATTAGCTAAGGGTCAACCTTGCAAATAGGCCTTTCTAAGGATAGCAGCATCAAGCCTGTTGTGTGAACTATTTTCTGTAGAAGATATAATTAAATTCCAACCGAATGCCTAGCAAGATTTTTTGTAGATAAAAGTAACTTAATTCTAAAATTTATGTGGGGAAGACAAATGATTTATTTATACCTGCAACTTAGAGTCACTACATTGAATGAAAGAAGTCAGTCTCATAAGGTTATATAATTTATAAAAATATTTATATAATATTCGTTCATACAATATTCTTGAAAAACAAGAACTACACTGACAGAGAATAGGTCAATGCTGCCAGAAGTTAGGGGTGTGGAGGAGGGTATGACTATTAAGGGTCAGAATGAGGATTTTTTTTAAAGAGTGCCACCTAACCATAGCGGCAGTTACACAGATCTGTACATGTGCTAAAATTCATAGAACTGTCAATCTCTTGAACATTTACCCCAGAAAATGAAACCTATGTTCACAAAAAAACTGTATGCAAACATTCATAGTGATTTTATCCTTAGTAGCCTCAAAATAGAAACAATCCAAATGTCTTTTAATGGGTGAATTGTTACATATAGTATATCTACATTGTGGAATACTACTCAGCAATTAAGAGTAAAGTCAATCCCCAGAACTGCAAAAATAAATTAATAAATAAATAAATAGGGGTGAAGGTGTGGCTCAAGCAGTAGAGCACCTGTCTAGCAAGTGAGAAGCCCAGAGTTCAAACCCCAAGGAGAGAGGGAGGGAAAGAAGGAAAGGAAGAAAAGAAAGAGAAGGAATGGAAGAAAGGAAGACAGGGAATGAATCAGAGGCAGTGCAAGATGGTGGCTGAATAAGATCCTCCTGGGATCTGCTCCCCACAAACACACCACGGTGGAAAGTTAGTCAGGTACCAAACTACCTTTATAAGATCTAAGAAAATCAGGTAAGAGACCATAGTACCTGCTTTTAGTATAACAAAACAAAAAGACTCAATGAAAAAGGCAGAAGGAAAGTTGTTTGTGTTATCCCTCTCCTAATTCCAACTATTTCAGCATTGAGAGAGACACTTTCCACTTGAGAAGTGGAAAGAGAATTAAGCCCAGTGAAACGCAGACTACACAAAGCCCTACAACCCCTACCGCCAGGCCAGTATCTGCAGACTGAGGCTGGAGAACTGCATTTGGGCAGGTGGCCTTGTTGCCTCTCCCACAACCTCCAGCAGCAGAGTGGGGGGTGGGGAGAAGGCAGCAGGATTCCACCTGCTGGGGAGCAAAGCATAAAAGCTAGCACAGGGCACTGTCTTGAAATGCAGTGCCACACCCCTAACAGTGAGACCCAGCATGCAGTAGAAACTGAAGGCTACAAAAGCCAGAGCTTAAAGACAGAACCACTACCTAGTCCTGGCATCAGGCCAAGACCTATGGATCAATGGGACAGACTTGAATTTCTACAGTACCGGTTCCAGTCTTATAGTGGGCCTGGATACACCTTCCAACTCTAGAGACTGAAGTTCCCTGTGGCTGTGGGACTCAGGTGTAAACTACTTTAGTATCAACCTTGGTAGCCACAAGACTCTCTACCACTCATCCCTCAACATCATGCTGCTCAGCTATTGCCAGACCTCTAAAAATGCCCCAGCACCAAATAGACACTTGTGTCCCAGTGGGAGGGACTGTTTTAGCCTATAGCACTACAAGCTGTGGCATGGGCCCACTGCAACTTTGAGATTGTGCAGGTTCTTGCAGCTGTGAGACTCAGGCACAACAACCCAGCTTATCATCAGTGTAGGTAGCCTAGGGACTGCCTTTCCTAACACCACCCTGACCTTGGGAAGCATTGAATGGTATGAGACCCCATTTGCTGGGGGTAGAATAGGGTAGTAAGCACAAGACTTTGCCCTAAAACCTAGTGCTGGGCTGGTGAGACTTAATACTGGGAAGATCCTAATGGACCTCATCACCAGGCCTGCCTACAGACAGATCCTATGGAACAGCTCTAGTGCCAGGGGAAGACACATGGCCCCAGGCTATGAGACTTTCATTCCAGCTAGCATCACCTGTGATGCAGCAGCCTTGGGCCATGAGTTCACCTCACTAATAGGCAGTCCATAGCAATGGGGATCTTGGTCCAACCCCAGTGCTATGCTGGTCTTGATGGGCTGTGGGCTCAGGAGGTGACACTGGTTAGCAGCAAAGCTATCCTTTAGAAATGAAAGAGGAATGAAAATATTCCCGACACACAAAAGCTGAGAGACTACACCTCTACCAGACCTGTTGTATAAGAAATACTAAAGGAAGTTCTTAAAACTGAAAGAAAGAGACATTAATGAATAAGAAGAAAAGATAGGAAGTGTAAAACTCACAAATTCAGAATGTGCTGATATTGTAAGCATGGTACATAAACCATATCTTTAGTATGAAGATTGAAATACAATTAAAATAATAACTACATTAACATGTTAAGAGACAGGCAATAAAGAAAGGTGTAAAAAAGGACATCTAAAATTCAAAAACATGAGAAGGAATGGAACGCAACTTCAGTCTTATTATTAGTATATTTTCTCTTGTTCTTTGCTTCTGTTCTTATCTTTATGATCACCTTAAGTAGCTATCATTTTACAATAGCTTGTTAATGATCCAAAGATGTTTTTGTACGCCTCAGAGTAGCCAAAATGCAACATTCCTTCATAGTAAAAACACTGAATAAATTAAGTTTAAAAAGAACACACTCCAACATAATAAAATCTATTTATATAAGCCAACCATTAATATTTTGCTGAATGAGAAAAGGTGGAAACTTTCTCTTCAAGATCTAGATGACAAGGATGCTCACTTTCACCACTTTTATTCAACATTAGTGCTAGAAATCCTAACCAGATCAATCAGGCAAGAGAAAGAGATAAAGGGCATCAAAATTGGAAAAGTAGTTAAACTGTCACCATGTGCAGATGACATGATCTTATATATATAAAAAACCCCAAAAACTCCACCAAAAGTATTATTGCTAGCCAGTGGCTCACACCTGTAATCCTAGCTACTTGGGAAGCTGAGATAGGGAGGATCACAGTTCCAGGTTAGTCCAGGCAAAAAAAGTTTTCAAGACCCCATATCAACAGAAAAAAGCTAGGCATAGTGGCACATGCCTGTCATCCCAGTGATGGCAGGAAGCTTAAAAGAGGAGGATCGCACTCCAGGTTGGAATGGGCAAAAAAACATGAGACCCTATTTCCAAAAATAACCAGAGGAAAAGGGGCTGGAGGCATGACTCAAGTGGTAGAGCACCTAACCTCACAAGCATGAAGCCCCGAGTTCAAACACCAGTATCACACACAAAAAAAAAAAACCTAGACCTAATAAATTCCACAAAGTTGTAGGATATAAAATCAACTTATCAAAATAATCAGTACCATTGCTATATGCCAAAAGTGAATTATCTGCCATATAAATCAAGAAAGCAATTCCATTTATAATAGCTACAAAATGTAATACATAGCAATTCATTTAATTCCATTCATACAACAAATGTTTATTGACTCCCTTCTATGTGCCAAGCACTATTCTGAGCTCCCTTTCCTTAGTACAAAACAGTAATTAAATATTCATAGCAGTATTTCCTCTATATACATCCCTGGACAAACAGGTACCTGACATGTCTGGTGCTACACTGTCTTTCCTATAATCTACTTCACCAAAGTTTAAAAGACCATCTCACTGACCCCAACCCAAATCACTACATACACTTTTACAAGACTTTGAGAATGAAAAAACTACCAGACCATCACTGCCTTTTCTAGAAATAGACTTTCCTTTCATTGGGTTCTCACATTATTTTCTTTATAACATTCTTCGGCTACTTAGTATATTCTACTTTGTATTATACTCAGTTATCTATATGTCTTATCTTGCCCTCTAAATAATAAGCTCCTTGAGAGCAGGAACTATGGATTCTTCAGCTCTGTAGATCCATAGATGCATCCATCCATCCATCCAAGCATCTTCTAGCATGCTTTAACTGGTAGTGCTGAATGACTAAACAAGAAAGAAAATAGCTCCTTAAGGAAGCAGTTGTCAGGCTTACCTGTACCTCCACCAACCAGTCCACAAGAATGGCCCTCATTTCACTGGTGATGTCAATCTGCCTGTTCATGTAATTTTTAAGTATGAACTTCTCCTAGCATCAATGAGAAAGAAATGTTAAATAAACTCTTCCTGTAGTTCAACATTATAACTTAACAATTAACTTCTGTTGCACAATTCTAACTCATTTTCAACTCAGATTGGGTTAGACTGGGATAGATCAAAGTATACCTCTCCAGATAAGTTCCGGTTATACTTGGGAAGTAGACACACATGATGATCATGTGTCAGAATGGATAGTGAGGAATCTAAGGAGAATAATGACAGAAACACACCTATGGCTATAGATGAATGTCAAAAAAGTTCTGCAATTCAGTTTAAAGCACAGTCCCATGCTAAGTAGAGAGTATTGCCTCTTAAAATTTAACATATGTGTATGCACTACTTGTAGCTCTTGTAAAACCTCAGATTTTGATTTAGAAAGCCTTGCATGTGGCTAGTTTTCTGCAATGCTAACAAGATATTAGGTGAAACTGATACTGCTGAGCCAAGGCTCACACTTTTAGAAAAAGAGTTATCTCTTACGTTCTTCAAGGTACAGACGGTCCCAACTTATAATGGTTCAACTTACTGATTTTTCAACTTTCTGACAGTACAAAAGCATCCACATTCAGTAGAAACTGTACTTCAGATTTTTTAATTTGATCTTTTCCAGGATTAACAATATGTGGTACAATCCTTTCTCTCAATGCCAGGCAGCAGCAGTGAGTCACAGCTCCCCGTCAGCCAAACTATCACAAGGAGAAACAGCCTATATTCTATAGTGAACTGTGTGGCTAAGCTAAAATGTTTCAACTTACAATAGGTTTACTTGCATATAACCTTCTTTAAATTAAGGAGTGTCTTTATAACTAGAAAAAGTATAAGCCTGGAAGTCAGGTAGTTAATAAATTGTTCTCTCTTTGTCAAGGATGAGATAGTCATTCACCCTCCTATGCATGGTCTGCTAAACATTCTAGTTGATAGACAATCTTCTTATCTGTTTCATTGAGAGAGACAAACGAAAATTTGGAACTGAAGAATATTATTACAAAAGGAGATTAAGATTTCAAAGGAAAAAGAAAATTGCACCAGGTTGAAGAGCTGAAACAAAGGGTGTGATTTTATTGTTATTTTCTACATCAGTACCCTTTCAAACTGTATGCTGAAGGATAGAGTGATGAAGAAATAAGAACTAAAAATCATTGTCCATTCCCATTTACCTACATACATACCTCTCTCTCCTTCATATAACTGAAGATATCCTCAGAATATATTGAGTTGAAAAGTTGATCACTGTAGTCCTTGTCAATATCGTCCAGTATGGTTTTCTGCTTAGAAATCACCAAAAATACGTATTAGCAGAAGAAAGAGTACAAGGAAAGTTCATACATATCAAAAATGACTCCTTTCTCCCTACTGTCTTCTCCTACCAAGTACTTCAAGCCTCACGTTATCTTGGGGCTATTAACGCTGCAATCCTCAGGGATCAAGAAATGCCAAGTATGTGCCTACGTATCCCAGGAGCAAGGCACCCTTTTACAAGTAAGCTCAAGTCTAAGAAAGACATTCTTATGTCAGCTATGTCACCTGTCTTCTGTTCCTTATTATGTCCCAATGCTTTGTTCTGCCCCAGCTCATCTTAGGAGCCTTTTCCTCCCTTCTACACATTTACCCAGGTTGTTTTACCTGTAAGAGGGATATTTCTCCTCTTGTTTGTTAAATTTTATCCCTTCATTCTTGTAATTTATAACTTAAAGAGCACTTTCCTTAGGAGACGCTCCTATGAATTTTTGTCTTTGACTGAAGCCCACTGTGATGCTGATTAAAATAACTAAGAAAGATAATACCCTTTTCTAACCACCACTGCAAAACCCAAGTATATAGCACAATGCTCCAGACCATTAGGGGTATAAATACTTTCTAACTGCTTAGGTTTGTGCCAATCAGGAAGTCAAGATACTCTATAAGGCCAGTTTGACATAAGAGAAAACAAAGAGCCTGGTAATTTTATCCCATATTATGGGTAACCCTGGGCTATAAAAGATGAGAAGAGATGATTCTGCATCAATCTCTCACTAAATGAAACCAGAAACAAACCCAAGAAGTATCACCGTCTTACTGGGTATAGGGGTCTCCCATAACTTACTACAAGCAGCTCAATTGCTTAGGAAGCAAACAAAAAATCTCTTCAGGGTTGAGGGTGCAGCTCAGTGGTAGTGTATATTTTGCATGTGCAAGGCCCTGGGTTCCCATGGACAAGCAAAAACACTATTTCTGCTAGCAGCTACCTCCAAACAATAAAGAAATTCACACTTCTGGGCTGAAGCAGTGGCTCAAGTAGAAGAGTGCCTGCCCAGGAGGTACAAAGCCCTGAGTTCACATCCCAGTACCATCACCAAAAAAAATGGAAATTCACACTTCTAATTTAAGAAGAGAGATAAATACCTGATTCCGTGCTCTCCTCTTCTGAGATGAGAAATGATTTCTGGAACCAGATTCAAATGCCCTAAACTTTCTGATGGTACTGAGGTTGGCTGAAACGGATATGTTGACAATGTTGGATGTGCTGGTTCCTGATTCAAGAGCATTGCTGAACACATGTGAGCTGCTCTCAACTTGAGGGATCAAGAAAGTATCCTCCTTATGGGCAGGATTCTGTTCCAAAAGCAATGGATATTTAAAGGATAACTGCTTCCCACCAGTGACTTCATCAGTCAAGACTAATAGTTCATCTGAGAGGGCTGCCTTATCAGTGTTGGTCTTCTTCTGAAAGGCTAATGGCTTTTGGAAAATGGCCTCTTTCTCAATTCTGGGCTTCTTCTGCAAGGTCAAGGGCTCCTTCAGGGTACCCTCTTTCTCAGTGTTGGACTTCTCTGGCAAGGTCAAAAGTTTCATGAAGTGAGCCTCTTTGTTAATGGTATGTTCCTTGAGGACAGATTCCTTTTTAACAGTGGAATTCCTCTGCAAGATCAATGGCTTCTTCCTAGTGCTGGACTTCTGCAAGGCCAAAGGCTTTGCAGAACCTTCAGGGTTCTTCAGGGTAACCGTGTTCTTAATGCTGGGATACACCTGCAAGGCCAATGGCTGCTTAATAAGGGACTCATCATTGGTGGTTTCCTCACACAAAGCCAACTGCTTCTTTGAAAGGAAATCTAGACATTGAAAAGTGGACTTCTTTAAAGATAATTGTTTCTCTGGGTTTGTTGCTGCCTCAGTGGAGGGCTCTTTCTTGCAAACTAAGAACTTTTTGAAAAGGAACTCCTCTTTGGTGGTGCTCTTCTCCTGCAAGGTCAATAGCTTTTTTGAGGTGTCATTGTTGTTTTCAGCCTCCTTTTGCAAGCCTAAGTCCTTCAGGAAATGGGACACATCATCACTGGCAAGCTTCTCGCTCAAAGAAAATTGTTCCTTAAAGAAGAATTCTTCCTCAATGGTAGGCTTCTCCTTCAAAGTCCCTGGTTCTTTACTGTATGTTTCTACTTTGGTGATGGTCTTCTCCTGCAAGGCCAATGACTTCTCTGAGAGGGACATCCCCTGCAGAGTACTGTGCTTCTCTTTCAATGAAGATGGCTCCTGGAAGAGGAACTCCTCTTCAGTTGTAGGCTTCTTTCTAAATGGCACTGGCTCCATAACAAATGAATCCTTAACTTCACCACTTATTTCCTGACAGTCTGACAGCTCTTGCCAGAAGGGCACTGCCTGAGTAGTATACTTTTTCTTCTTCAATAACACATTTTCTTCTTTAAAGGACAATGACTCCTTAGAAGGTGACTTCTCTCCAAAGGCAACTATCTGCAATACTGGTGGCTTTAAGTAGGACACTGTCCCTTGAGTGGTACACTTCAGCTTTTTTAAAGGCAAAAGCTTCTCGGTGGGGCTTGCCTCCTCAATGATACACTGCTTCTTAAAAGCCAAAGCATCCTGAAAATGTGACTTCTCCTCAGTGGGAGACTTTTGCAGGACTAAGTTCTTAAAGGTGAACACTTGCTCTGGAGTAGTACACTTCTCTTGAAATGCAGATGAGCCCTGGAAAAGCAAATCCTTCTCAGTGGTAGATTTCTTGAAGGACAGTGGCTCCTTAGTGAGTGACTTGTCTCCAGAGGTGACTGTGTGCAATAATAGTGGCCTAAAGTGGGAGCTCTTCCCCAAAGTGTTACACTTCTTTATTAAAAGTGATGGCTTCTCCATGGTAATATGCTGCTTCTTACAGGTAACTAGCTCCATGCATAAGTTATCTTCACTGTTCATATTCTCCCATGATGCCCATTTCCTCTTCAAGATGCCCACCTCCTCCCTTTGGATGTTATTCTTCTCTTTCAATGAAGATGGCTCTTTGAACCAAGACTCCCCCTGAATGGTAGGATTCTTTTCAAAGAACGATGGCTCTGTAATGAGGGACTTCTCTTCAGAGGTGACCTCCTGCAATACTAGTGACTTCTTCAAGCAGTACCTCTTTACCTCAGTAATGCCCTTTTTCCCCTCAGTAGTACATTTCTCCTTTAAAAATAATTGCTTTGTGATGAGGGTTGCTTCCTTGGTGGTAGGCTTCTTCTTAAAAGCTAATGATTGCTTAAAGAGAGAATCCTCTTCAAAGTTGATCTTCTCCTGCAGGGCCAATGATTTCTTCAAAACGGACACCTCTTGCTCAGTGGTGTACTTTTCTTGCAATGCAGGTGGCTTCCAAAAAGGATACTCCTCAGTAGGCTTTGTCTTAAAGGATAAAGGCACCTTAGTAAGTGACTTCTCTTCAGAGGTAATCTTCTGTAATACTAGTGGCTTCACCATGTAGGAACTCTTTCCCTGAGGGGTACACTTCTTCTTTAAAGATAGTATCTTCTTAGTGAGAGATGACTCCTCAGTTTTAGGCTTCTTCCCAAAAGTCACTGGCTCTATACCAAACTCATTTTCATTGTCAGTCTCCTCCTGCAAGGGTAGTGACTTCTCCAATAGGGACAATTCCCCATGATTTGTGCACTGCTTTAATGCCTTCTTGATGAGGGTTGTCTCCTGAACAGCAGGTTCTTCTCTTAAAACTGATAGCTTTTCAAAGATACATGCTTCCTCAGTGGGTGGTGTTTTGGATTTGGTGGAAATATCTAGAACAGGCAGTTTCTCCATAATGTTTGGCACCAAGCTGGTAGAGACCACTACTGGTGAGACTTCCAACTTATCCCTGCAAATAAAACAATTTCTGGTTAAGAAGAATGTAGTTCCACAGGAGGCAGAACAGTACTGCAAGGGGGAGGTGTAAGTGGAAACTATTCCAGGAATGAGGGGAAGGAGGGGATAAAGGAGAGTGGTGGAGGGAGTAAATTCAAGTATGATATATTTGATATATTGTAAGAACTTTTGTGAATTCCACAGTGTCCCCACCACCACCACCTAGCACAACAATAGAAAAAGAAGAATGTAGTTTCAGATAGGTTTAGAAATAAAAATAGTGAGAGGTCTCAACAATCCACTTTCATCAACAGACAAAACATTCAGACAAAAAATTAACAAAAATATCCTAGAACTAAACAATACCATGGATGAAAAGGACTTAACAGCAGAGAGGTCCATTTAAAAATACTTCTGCATAATTGTATATTTTCTATAAGTCATTTTGTTTGCAAAATGGAATATGTTTTAGATGACTCAAAACCACATACAGGCATGCAAAGGAAAGTCACTAGACTGAAGAGACAGCCAACAGAATGGGAAAAAATCCTTTCCAGCTACACATCTGACAAGAGATTAATAGGTAGACTATACAAGGAGCTCAAAAAACTAAGCCTGAAAAGAATCAACAACCCAATGAATAAATGGGCAAATTAAATAAACAGATAATTCCCCAAAGAAGAAGTCCAAGTGGCCAATAAATGCATGAAGAAATGCTCAACATCCTTGACTATAAAGGAAATGCAAATCAAAATGACAATGAGATTTAACCTCACTCCAATCAGAATGGCTATCATAAATAACACAAGCAACAAAAATACTGGCAAGGAAATGGGGAAAAAGGGAATCTTATATAATGTTTGTGGGAATGTAAATTAGTACAACCATTATGAAAAGCACTATGGTGGCTCCTTCAACAACTAAAAATAGAGCTAGCATACGATTCAGTGATACCATTCCTAGGCATTTACCTGAAGGAATATAAGCCAAGATACAATAGAGCCACTTTCACTCTCATGTTTATTACAGTACTATTCACAATAACCAAGCTATGGAAACAGCCCAGATGCCCTACAACTGATGAATGGATTAATATAATGTGGTATATATACACAATGAAGTATTATTCAACCATAAAGAAGAATGAAATTATGCTGATTGCAGGTAAATGGATGGAACTGGCGATCATCATGTTAAGCAAAGTAAACCAGGCTCAGAAGGACAAGGTCACATGTACATGTTTTCCCTCATATGTGGAGGCCAGACATAAAAGATAAATGTATACATAAACATATGGCCTAAAAAGATCATGTATATATATGATCTTATATACAAACATACATTACATATTATATATATATACAATGTACATATGCATATATATAATATGTATGTATGTGTATATATTATATACACATATTATATATATGTACATATTATATGTATGTATATATATACACATACGTATAGAGACACAATATGTATGTATGTGCATATATAACATATACACATACATACATATAATACATATATACACACACACACACACACACACATATATATATATTGAGAGAGAGAGAGAGAGAATGAGAACATGATTGTCTGTCTGAGGGGACTTCAGGGAGGTGGGAGAGGAAAAGAGAATAATAATGAATAAAATTGAAATATATTGCATCTATACATGAAGGTAGTATAACAAAATGCCACCCTGAAAGCTGTTGAATCGTAGGGGAGCAAAGTGATACAGAAAAAGCAAAAGAGGGGGTTAATCTAATTAAAGAAAGAAATATACATGTGTGAAATACCAAGATAAAACGTCCCTGAACAACCAATATATACTTTAAAAATGAAGGACGGGAAGGTAAAACAGGTCCTGTCTGGGATGGATGCCAATGGGGGAGGGAGGGTAAATGCAGAGAGTGAAGGAGGGCGAATATGGTCTATGTACTTTGTATGCATATATGAAAATGAAACCTGTTGAAATCGTTTTAAGTAAGGAGGGAGAGTGATGATGGGAGGAACCTAACCAAGGTACATTGTAAGCATATATGGAAATGTCACAATGAAACTCACAGTACAACTCATATATGCTAATAAAATGTTTTTAAAAATTAAGGACAGGAAGGTAAAATAGGTCCTGTCTGGGGGTGGGGACCAGTGGGGGGGAGGGTAAAAGGGGAGGGTAAAAGGAGAGGGTGAAGGAAGGTGAATAGGGTGGATGTGCTTTGTATATGTGTATGACGATAGAACAACAAAACATGTTGAAAATGTTCTAAGAGGTGGACAGAGAGAATGATGGAGGGGCTGAATCTAGTAAAGATACATTGTAAGCAAATATGTAAATGTCACAATGAAACCCCCCTGCACAACTAATATATGCTAATAAAAATGTAAAACAAAACCAAAAACAAAAAGGAAGAAAGTAGTTCCTAGAGACCCCACCTACCATCTCATTCTGTTGCTACACTAACTAAGGGCATGGAAAGGGAAAGGGCTTCATCCCTAAGAGGCAGAGTAAAAGGTTAAAAAAAAAA